GATCCAAGTCACCAGGCACTTCATCCAAAGTCGAACTACATGCCTCATCCGAACAAGATTGAGAATAGCAATGTTCCTATTCTCTAAAATCAACCAGATCAACACTTGCCACAATCGATCAGAACCCATAATACGATCTCCCAAACCTACCGTGATAACATCTCTTCTTCCAAACCCGAAAAAAGAATATGCTCGCTACCTCTAAGGGAAAACACCACCATCCATCCTACACTACAATAGAACATTGAAACCTATTTATTTGTAAAGTGTTGAAACTACTTGTAGTTTCAACACCAGAACAATTTGAATTAAACTTAGAATACAGTTGTTCTCATTCTGGAACTAACTCGCGCAAACCGGTGAACACTAGATCTATTGAGACTAGGAGATATAAGAGTAAGATTGAGATTGGTATTAGACTTAGAAGTTGCACGAATCTATCCGGCCGAAAATAAGATAGCGTGACGAGCAGACGGTGTACCTTATCTGAAATTACTCTATGAGTATAGTAATCCATACAAAACTCAATAACAAAAAAAAGCTGATAACTGGACAAAAATGACTGGACTCGATAGATACGCAAGTTTGAAAGTTATCTCGAAGAAGAATTTAACCAAGAACAAGTCAAAAACATACATAAAAATTGGCGTTTTGACTTATTGTAGCACAATTTGAGATTTTTCTGAAAGGTTTTTGATGGAAACTTTTCGATCATATTAATTGAGCTGGCTGATGGTTGAATTTATGATTTTCAAAATAGCCCTTTATTTAGAGTAGTAAAACTCAGTTTTCTGGATTTACGTTTAGTTTCTGCTCAAAGTGATCCAAGGTTGCCAATTGAATATGTGCGACATGCATTATTACATCAGTCTAAAAAAGAAAAAACGCAGACTGTCTTTTCTACTAGAAAACATAGATTGAAGGGTTTTTACAGATTTATGATAATAAGTGAAAGTTCTTCAGAATGGTACATCAATCAACTCCACCAACTTAAATCACTAACGCTTTGCTTTTTTAAAATCAAAAACTGGTGTCCAAAACCTTTAAGTCGGCAATCCTAAATGCGCCACCTTGGTGTTTCTATGCTCAATTTTTTTAATACGAAGATCTGTTCCGGTTAAAAAACCAAGTGTTTTTTTTGTGTGATGTTCCCAAAAGATGAAGGAGCACTCTTCTGCGCTATTAAAAACATCATAATTTAAGGGCTTGGTTTGGCCATGAAATAAACTTGTTATGCATATTTGAATAAAGACTTGTGAGAAAAAGTCGGTTGACAATGTGACACATCAAGATCAACATCTTCACGTATTTGATTTCTTCATGTTTTAGTTGCACAAGGAAAGCACTGTCCGATTGTTTTTTCACTTGTCCAGCTTATTTCGTGGTGATATTAGTCATTCGCTCAATATGTGGTAGTGTCGATGGTTAACAAGTGGCGAAACGTATTAATGGGATGAACTACAAAGTATAAAACTACTATCATTTTAGTAACAAAAAAAACGTTATATTTTATTTCTACATTGAGAAAAACCGCCATGTGTTAAAATTATTGACTTTTTGTGTAAAGATTAAAAAACAATAGTGTTCAAGTTCTACATTCAACATATTACAGAGTTGGAATGCAGCTCTGTTTATTAATTCGCAAATAAACAAGAAAAATGATAACATTCTGTTAATAATTATTACAAACGTCGAGTTCAAAAAACTAACTTTTTTGAGAAAAAAAATATTTACAGTTTTTTTAATAGTCAACAACAAATAAACGTTAAACTTCAGATAAATCCACGGCTGTGTTGAATATATTCATTGTGTCAGTGACGTAAACACGAAGAAAAACTTCAATTGCGAAAAAAACTGGTCTAATAGAGTTTTGGTTTATCGGTTCGCCACTTGAAAAAGTGACCGCGTCCAACTGCTAACAACCACGTCATAGCATTATCATGTTGAGATTATTCTCCTTATTTATTTGCGCTTTTTAATTTGTCATTAGAGCTTTTAAAAGTATGCGGGTGTTATCAACATCCGTCTAAACGCATTCTTCAGATTGAAGTAAGAGCAACTTGCAAGTGATTTGATGATTAATCCCCAATCGTAATTCAATTAGCGATGATGAACAAATGCATCATCGATGAAATAAGTTAGTCGTTATCATATTTAGAGAAGTTTCATCTTTTGTCCTTGCTTGAGTTTTGTGTCGCGAACTGTGAATGGTAAGTCTTTTGTTCGTTTATTATGGAAACATAATCTGAATTGCTCCGTTATTTCATTATTTTTAAATTAATATCTATAAAATAGTGTTACAAAGCTATTTTTAGTTTTCATGAAAAATCCAGTTGTCATGACTAGCTTTGTGTGGTCTTCAAAATAGTGAAAGTGTCTAAAAGTGCCCAAAAATAGTGCACTTTCAAGAGGACCTTTGGATTTTAGACTGAACCAAACAAAAAGGTTGCTAACTGTCATTTGATCACCGCTCAATTCTATTTTGGAACTCGAAAACAAACCAAACAAGTGTCGAATAAATATCTCAGAAAGGTGCAGTTTATATTACACGGGAGCCCAAAACAAAAATGGAATGAACAAATTTTGCGGCTTAAACAAAAATCAGGTTAGAATTTTGAGCGTAGGGCCAATTTGTGACCCCCGTTTAGCCTTGAAAATATTTGCCAGCAATTTTTGACGTTTTTTGTCTCGCGATATTTCATTTCGAAAGATGATAGTGTCAAATTATGTTAATGTGACCAAACTATTTGATTTCAATCCCGATCGATGCAGTTTAACATGCGATAGAAGATCATTGAGGTAAATATGTCACCAAGTTTGAATCTCAGAGAAGCTTAGAAGCTCGTCTCTCTTTCTATTTCTGGGCTTCTAATCCATTACGTGGACAAACACATCTTGGCGCATCGATTAAACGCCCATTATGTCGGTTGGACAAATAGATCACTCTCTGCAATCTAAGATTCGCCCTCCGTTTTGACGCAAGTGGGGCGGTTCGCTCATAAATTTTGAAGCTCTTCCTTTTGATCCCATTGGAGAACGTCTGCACCAAACGTCGCTCGAAGCGCTCCATTTCTATCAAAACTAAGCTTAACTTATTAACTGAACTGGGGTTTAACTGTTGTAGTACAATCATGATAATTGGTAAGAATCGATCGATCGATCGGCCGATTGCTCCAAATACTTGGTGCAATTGTGGACGATTAGAAATGTTGACAGAAGTCACCAATATCAGTTGCATGTGTGCTTTACCATAAACCATTCTGGCTGTTGTGTTTAACGATTGCCTGAGATTAAACAGGAGTGAAAAGATACGATTTCGATACTTTCAGTCTAATTAATCCATTCATTTGTTGTAATTTGAGGCCCACTTTTAGCACATGCTGCTGTTTAGAAATAAACCCCGTTACTTTTTCGATTAACCTTTTCCTCCCAATTTGGAAGCTGCAAAATCTAAACTTGTCTCTACAAAAACGGTAAGTCCAGATTTGTAAACTCTTCTTTGAAAACATTAGATGTTGAACTGATTAAGTTTGACCATTTTCGGGCGCCAAAACCATAAAGCAGTTTTTATGATGCCAATGCTATTCATATGCTACATGGAAGTAAATTTTTGCAATTTGAAAAAAAAACGTTCGCCCCCTTTTCACTGATAAGTAGGTCAAATTGGTTAATTAGCAGGTTGACCTGTTTTCTGGCCTTCGATTCATCATTGCAGTATGCTTTCATTGAACAGACTCCCAACTGTCAATCAAATGCAGCATAATGCAGTGATAGTTCCTCGTCAGAACGATCAATTAAGACCAGCTGTGCGAAAACTCAGTTAAAAATAAGTCAATATTTTGGTAGTGCGGTGCTTCAATTTTAAAAAAAATGAACCTTTCTCAGACATTTCAGCCAGGGCGGATTTAGGGGGAGGCTGGGCTGACACCCCCTCCTCAGGGATTCTACCGACCTCCGTCGACTCAAAGGGTCCCCTCTTTGTACTATTTTGAGATAAAAGCGCAGAAAATTTGCCCGAAACAAAGTCTTTCCAGCGCTTTAGGAGAGCTCGGAAATCAATTTGGTCGAACTAAAGAAAAAAAAGGTCGAAAAAATAGAAAATCCTAGATGCGCCCTTGGTTTCAACCACTTTGCCAACACAAGAGTCTCTCTTCTGCGCAAATCAATTAATGTCATTCATTTTGAGCGGACAGAAGTTTAAAATATTCTTGATAAACTTTAAATATTCTAATTTTAAAATATTCTTGTATTTGAAATAATTTAGTTAACTTAATATTAAAATATTCTAAAGGGAGCAAAGGTTTTTCAGCCGCTGGACATTTTTATTTTGAGGAGTAAAAATATTAACTTTGGCCTTTCCTAAAATCTTACCTGAAGCGCAGCAAATGTTTGCAAACAAAAGAGGGCCTCTAAAGCGTTTCAAGGGTGACAGACCATAATATTGGCCTAAAAAAGGTCAACATAGTTTTTGAAAAACACCCCTGCCCTCACAAAAAGATCCTAGATTCGATCTCCCAGAATTGATCAAAAATCAGAAGTTTACGCTGTCTTTTTTTCAAAGTCCTTGTTTCGAAAAGTCAGTGAAGATAGAAAAATTGAGAAAAAAAACGCCTCGCACCGGCAAATTTTTTTCGATAGGGTTAAAGACTATTCTTAAGCTCAGTTGATTTTAAAAGGTTCAAGTTTGATCAGGGGCGGATTTTCTCGAATTTTTGTAATGAAAAATTTCGAAAATTTGTTTTTTTTGGTCGATCGATTTGAATTTCAAAAAATCCTTTTTTTAGGTCGATCATCAAAATTTCGATCATCAAAATTTTGCCTGCGGCGCATAAAATTTTGTCAAGATAGGTTCTTTTCAGTGCTTTGGGAGTGCTCGGGAAATCAAATCGATCGACCGTCGATCGATTTGATTTCCCGAGCACTCCCAAAGCACTGAAAAGACCCTATCTTGACAAAATTTTATGCGCCGCAGGCAAAATTTTAAACTAACAGGCGCGCGCTTCCCCCTCAAAGTTAGTATATTTTGGCGTCGAAGACACTATTAGAAAATTTTTGGTTCCGTCAGCCAAAAACAGATATCTCAAAATAGTACAACGGGGGATCTTTTAGGTCGGCACGGGGTCGAATCCCTGAAAAAAAGGCGTCCTTCCCCCTCCCTAAATCCACCCTTGATTTTGATGTCTCTAGTATCTTATCATCTGAGTGATCGTTGAAGACCCAAATAAAATCAGTAAAGCAGACATTAAATAAATTAAGCTGTAGTAATGTCCTTAGTCTATATATGACTACGTATGGTTCATCATGGGTTGTGTATGGTTGCCGATGGACTGGGTGTCACTTCGACCTGGCTGCCAGCTGGTTCAGTGGACGGCCTGGTGTTGTTCACTTGGGCGGCGGACATCCTCCCAGTGGCCTGCTCATGGGTTTCCAGCAGCTTCTGACCTTCTACTAATTTCCGATGCTCCACTGAACAGGTGCGCAAAAACAAAATTAAAATATTTTTTGATCAAACATGCATGACAAGAAATTTGATCATTCCAAAATCACTTAAGTTCACGCTGATTTCTTGATTTCCGAAAACTGAATATGTCAAAAAGTATAGATTTGAAGCAACGGTGAAGGTGGTTTTTTAAGGACTATAGATGAACTAGGGGGATTTCAGGATATTGTCGGATCTATTGTCGCAAGGACGCATCTAAAGTTTTTCCGACAAAATTGTTTTTAAAAGTTGCCCTTATTTTTTCTCGGATGATTTCCAGGTCGTCAAAAATAACATTCTGAGAACTAAAAACACCAAAAAAATGTGTTTTTGCCAAAAAGTGTCTGAGCCGCAGGCAGCATCAAAATGCGCGGTAAATTAACAAACAATTTAGTCAAAGGGGCGTGGAATTTCTCGAGGGGGTGGTTTTTTTGGTCGAACAAATTGATTTTTCGAGCTCTCCCAATGCGCTAAAAAGACCCTGTTTTGGCCAAATGTTCTACGCCGGAGGCAAAATTTTGAAAAAACAGGCCAAAAAATTTTGACCATAAAACTTTGACCAAAAAATTGAGTTTTTTCGCGCGCGCTCCCTCTTCAAAGTTAGTATATATTGGGGCCAAAAGCGCCCTTAGAATACTTTGAGGGTCTGTCACCAAAAGTGGATATCTCAAAATAGTACAAAGGGGGACCCTTGGGTCGACAGGGGGACGAATCCTTGAAGGAAGAAGGGTGTCCGCCCCCCCCCCCCTAAATCCGCCCCTGACTAAGTGGCAATACTCAGGTATTGTATTTGTTGGTGTAGTTTTTGTAAGTTTATGTCACTGTTCACAATGCAAGCGCATGATGATGATTGTGGTTATGATTACATGACTAGGATAGATATTATTCCGACCATTTGAAAAATGGGGACGAATTTTGTATTCGGGTGTTTTGTAGTTTTTTTTTCACGCAAAGTCAGCTACCACAAATAATCAACAGAGAGAGTTGAGTGATATATCATATTAAAGTCCTTACTGTCTTGATTCGAATGATATTGACAACTTTTGAAAAAATTTCCCAACTTTGAGAAAAATTCCCAATTTCGAGTTCGAAATTTTTGCTTTTTCGTCTTAACTCAAACTTTTTTAAATCAAAACCTTCATAACTGAAAGAAAAACTTGAAAAAAATTTTGAAACTTTTATTTAATCATTTTTTTGTTTTTTAGTCGTTTTTCTACAAAAACTGTTTTTCTTTTCGATTGTTTAATATGACTATCAAATATGCCTAATCTCTTATTTCTCGTTCAATTTTACCACACTACGCCAAAAATAGCGGCACAAATTTGAAAAAAAAATTGTTTAAAGATTATGGTCGGAACATTTTGAGCTACTTGCAATGCTATCCTTGATATTATTATGATTATAATAGTTATTATGATATAATGATATAATGATTTATGATTAGGATAGATTTTTTATGAAAAATATGATCATGATTGTTAAGATTATGATTGCTTTCTTATGATGATTATTATGCGTTTTATTTTTGTGATTATTAGTGTTAACATTGTTTTCATGATGATTATTTTGATTATTATTATGATTATTGTTATTATAATTATTATGATTTGATCATTATTACAATTATTATTATTGTGGTTTTAATTAAAATTGTAATTAATATGATCATTGCTAGGATTATTCTGATGACTATTATGATTATTATAATTACTTTTATTGTTTCAACCGTTTAAAAAACGTGGAGGATTTCTAAATTCAGGTGTGTTTTAGCTTTTTTCTTTTTATTTTTCATGCAAAAACAGGGATCACAAATACCCATTAGAATGGGTTATATAACGAGTGATATATCATATTAAAATATTGAAAAACCCTTTTAATCGTGATTTGATCAAAATAAATAAAAAAGTTTCCGGTGTCGAGAAAAACCAGTTTGAAATTTTGGTTTTTGGCTTAATCTTATGCTAATAAGGTGAGCGTACAGGCATGTAATAGCTTATTTATGCTTAATTTGGGTCGTGAAAACTTAGATTTATTCGAGTAAAAATAATGTTTGGAGTTTGTTAGCGCCATTTTCGGAATCAAAAACATCAAAATTCAAAAAAGTTTTGGTTTTTTTCTACGATGTTTTTTCGTTTCCTAGTCATGTTTCAACAAAAAGTTTTCCAATTTTTTTTTTTCGCTGGCCTTTTTTATCACACCACTCAGGATAAACGACACAAACTTGGAATTTTTTTTAAATGACTATGGTCGGAACCTTCTGTACCACTGCACAGTAACCGACGATCCCTGTTATTATAATAATACTTATCATTATCATTATTCTGATTATTATTATGATTATTATTATTTTTCTTGTTATGATAATTAAAATTATCATTATTATGATTATTGTTATTGTGATTATTATTAAAATTATTATTAGTAGATGCAGATTTGTTGTTCTAACTGGATAGTTGGATGAGCCATGATGCCCATACAAGTGCCCATATCCAGCCGATGAAGAGGAAAGTAATGGTCATGAGCTGGGAGAGGCCGATGAGGAATACGATGAGGAAGTGCTCCCCCACCGCGTACTTCGCCTTGGCCTCTGCAGTCCTGAAGGTTCTCCTCGACAACAGCAGCACCCCACTCAACATTGTACCTGCGAATAAAGACAAAAAATAGACTGCAGTTGTGTAAGTAGACTTATACTTTTGCACCGACTGACATATAGTCATTTTTGATGTAGTCCCTGGCCTCAGATCGGTCAGCTTCCAGTGGTTCCAAATTTATGCAGCCGTTATTCGATATACAAAACCCAGAAGCGAGAATAGTTTAAATTAGTTAGCCTATTGTAAACCGAGCCACAAGTACTAATAAATCAGTATCAGAGCAAATTTCTATGAAAAATTTTGACCAAGATTTGCTTAACTTTTTTCTCGCACGTAAAAAAAAACGCTTCGGCAAAAAGTAAGAATAATTTGAGACAAACATTTTGCTGAGACAGTGAGCTATAGTTTTCCAACAGATTCAGGTTGATGAGAAAAAGTTAACTCAATGAAGTCATTTTTTTTTAATTTTCAAATTTGAACAGCATTTTTTTTCTTACCTTTAAACGTTTCTATTACAAACAAACTAAGAAAAACAGAATTACCCGTATATAGCAGTGCTCAGATCACTTGGAGGCTTCAAATTGTGTTTGAATTTTAAAAGTTTCTGGATTCAATTTTATCCCGATTGCTTCTTGAGAGCTCAATGGTTAATCTGAAAAGTACGAGATGAGGTTCGGAGTCAAAAAGTAAAAGTGACAATGAAGCTCCTGCGTAATTTTTAAATATCAAAAATCAAATAGATTTTAGAAGTTTGTAGATACATCTAGCCTTTAGGAAAAACTGAAAGCTGTATTTATATCAACCTCCTTCTGCAATTTCTTTTACATCCACTGGCAGTGTTTTTCGTAGAAGTCATCATGCATGCTTGTGTGCATCTATGTATGTATGAAAGTACGCACGTATGTATGTAGGTATGTACGTATGTATGTATGTATGTATGTATGTATGTATGTATGTATGTATGTATGTATGTATGTATGTATGTATGTATGTATGTATGTATGTATGTATGTATGTATGTATGTATGTATGTATGTATGTATGTATGTATGTATGTATGTATGTATGTATGTATGTATGTATGTATGTATGTATGTATGTATGTATGTATGTATGTATGTATGTATGTATGTATGTATGTATGTATGTATGTATGTATGTATGTATGTATGTATGTATGTATGTATGTATGTATGTATGTATGTATGTATGTATGTATGTATGTATGTATGTATGTATGTATGTATGTATGTATGTATGTATGTATGTATGTATGTATGTATGTATGTATGTATGTATGTATGTATGTATGTATGTATGTATGTATGTATGTATGTATGTATGTATGTATGTATGTATGTATGTATGTATGTATGTATGTATGTATGTATGTATGTATGTATGTATGTATGTATAAATGTATGTATGTATGTATGTATGTATGTATGTATGTATGTATGTATGTATGTATGTATGTATGTATGTATGTATGTATGTATGTATGTATGTATGTATGTATGTATGTATGTATGTATGTATGTATGTATGTATGTATGTATGTATGTATGTATGTATGTATGTATGTATGTATGTATGTATGTATGTATGTATGTATGTATGTATGTATGTATGTATGTATGTATGTATGTATGTATGTATGTATGTATGTATGTATGTATGTATGTATGTATGTATGTATGTATGTATGTATGTATGTATGTATGTATGTATGTATGTATGTATGTATGTATGTATGTATGTATGTATGTATGTATGTATGTATGTATGTATGTATGTATGTATGTATGTATGTATGTATGTATGTATGTATGTATGTATGTATGTATGTATGTATGTATGTATGTATGTATGTATGTATGTATGTATGTATGTATGTATGTATGTATGTATGTATGTATGTATGTATGTATGTATGTATGTATGTATGTATGTATGTATGTATGTATGTATGTATGTATGTATGTATGTATGTATGTATGTATGTATGTATGTATGTATGTATGTATGTATGTATGTATGTATGTATGTATGTATGTATGTATGTATGTATGTATGTATGTATGTATTGGAACCTGATCTAAACTACATTTTATGATTGGATAAATTAGATATTTTACCAATGTAAAGTATTTAATATTAACCAATCATGATCCATCTAACTAACAACCCACTTATTTGTAAGTGCTAAAGTTACTTGTAATTTCAGCACCAGAGAGATTTGAATTTAACTTAGAAATTAGTTGGACTCTCCCGAGCACTTCAGCAGCCGCAATAAACCAGTATACCCTAGATCTATTGAGCCTAGCAGAGACTAGTTAAACAACCTGAGACTAGATAGTATAAGAGTAAGATTAGGATCGGTATTAGACTAAGAAGTTGCACGAATCTATCCGGCCGAAAATAAGATAGCGTGACGAGCAGACGGTGTACCCTATCCGAAATTACTCTATGAGTTAGCCAACTCGGTCCTAACTCATCTGGTGCGACCATAAGTCTCGAACAAGACCTTAATAGCTTAGAATTAACCAAAATAGATTAGAAATTAGACAAAAACATTTACAAAATGTTATACGACAATAATTTAATCGAAATGTCTCTACGACTCAATAGATCAGAGCCAATATTCCGAACCATAACAGAACTACCCGGAATTGGAAGAAGACCTCGAACCAGAGACGACATACGACAAAGTAGAAACTTGCCATATAGTTATATGATAGTTCGGCAAAAGCCAGAACAAACTTTTATATTTAGAATATTACTGGCAATGAATTTAGATTTTCATTTGCAAACATAAAACCTTGAAGTTAATCTTCAAAATCATTTCAGGCGCTAAACAAAATTATTAATATACAATAACGATTGATAAAAAGATCTAAGATCGTTTTCCTAAAACTCTGCAGTAATATACAAAACATGTTTGAAAAATATTTATTGAAAAATAAAAAATAAAAATTAGTAGCATGACAATAAATGGTTAGTAATCATAAATCATCCTGTTGTTCCAGCTCCATCACCTAAAACATAACAGCAATCATAAACCCACTAATATCATCAAAACACTAAATCTTTCCTTTACACACATTTAAAATTTTATTAAAACTTAAATTCACTTAATTTTAAAACCAGATCATCAAGGCTTATCCTTGGATCTTAAATCATTTTCTACTTAATTAAATTTCAAATTTGATCATCAAGGCTTATCCTTGGATCAAACAGAACAACTTTGTTCTCCCCCACCCACTTAATTAGTGTCTAACGACCTCAAACGTCGATTCACTACCCAACCCTTTCTAAAGACCCAAGACTAATAGAAATTTTTAAACAAAACTAATCATTCAAATTAGGATAAACAGTGAAGAACTTCGGTTATTCATCCTTCACTTGACCCCCCCTCTTACCAGACCCAGGATAAATCTTAGACTTAGTAAGTTTAAAATAGTATCTAACGAACTACTCGCGTTCTAATTATACCTGAACCTTGTGGATCGATTTACTATTCTCCAACCCTTGAACACAATCACTACCCCTAAGTAAGATTAAGTAAGTTAACACCTTAACTTATACTAGCCACGAGAAAGTAAAAAATCATTCTTCGGAATCGATATACTTTTCTCTCCAACCCTGAACAAACAGACCCAGGTTAAGCTAACCAAAAAATCGTAAGAACTAACAGTTTAAGAAAATAGAAATCATTTAACAACCTTTTGCATCCGTCATCCTAAACCTTATGTCATTTAAAAACCTAGGAAATAAACAAACAATCGTTTTACACAATTGTGAAATAGATAACAAAAAATACGACCTTGTAATCACACCTCATACACAAACAGTTGGATACATTCGAACAAAACGACAAACACTAAAAAGAAAAATAATAACGAAACAAAGACAAATAACACGAAAAAGATTTTCAAAAAATCGAAACGCATTTTCAGAATCAGAAACCAACAGTTTAGACGAACTTTACAAACTAAAAGAATCAATAGATAAAAATTACCCACTTCACGATCAATTATATTTTTCTGACTCAGAAACAACTTCAAATTCATCAAAAAGAGGAAAAAGAAGAATAAAAAAGCAGTATAAACACAAACCAGTACATTTATACAATTGGAATCAACCAATTCGACACATTAATAATTACATATTAACAGTCATCGAACGAAAAAATGAGCTCAACGCACACTCCAGGTGAAGAAAGTCCAGATGATGATGAAATCTTTCCTTTTATAGTAGATGCAGATACTGATAGAGGACAACACATATTTTGTCAAAATTTACTCGTAAATTTATTTGAACCCGGAATCAGTCCATGTAAAACAGAGTTCCCCGATGTAAAAATCAAAAGACAAATCATAGATCACTATCTAAAAGATATATGTAACATAACACAACAGTATGGAATCTACTCCATAGAATTCACCTCACCAAACCATAATAATAGAAAATATGCAATTCAAACAGACGATCTTGATTTAGAATTTTCAAAAGTTTTTTCAGAATATATAAAAAGCATCCAATATCATAACTCACAAAGAGCAAACTCCATATTCACCAATGAAGTTTTCGCAATAATATATAGTTATATTTCGATATTAGAAAACGAAATCCCAATAACAAATGTCTCACCGACAGAAACATCTAAACATTTAAGAGTACGACATGAAATCACACTACTCTCTAGTTATTTAAACATCATTAAAGAAAATTTCACGAAAAACGACGTTTCACAACATACAAAACACGATCTACAAAAAATTTTGGCATGGTTCATAATAGATTATTTCACACACAATATTGATTTAATTGCACAAGCAAGAAAAAATTTTAGACCCCAAAACTCGAACGATGATACCGCTATCACAGAACAATCAGATTATGTTTGGGACCCCGAATGGTCTCATCCCGCATTTATAAGCTTCCCACAAACAATCTCAAGTCAAGCAATAAGTACGATATCTTACATAAGAGATTATGTAAAAGTAATACCATTAACCATTGATGCAACACCATTAAACTATAATAC